TTCACAGTACGGCATTTTTGAATGACAGTCTTGTCTACAGAGTCATGGTCATCAAAGGTCACAAAAGCAAAGCCTCTCTTTTTGCCACTGCCTCGGTCAGTCATGATTTCAACCACTTCAATTTTCCCATACTGTTCAAAAGAATCTCTTAGATGATGTTCTTCAGTGTCTTCTTTAATGCCACCGACAAAAATCTTTTTCACAGTTAAGTGGGCACCAGGTCTTTGAGAATCTTCTCTCGAGACAGCCCTCTTTGGTTCCACAACTCTTCCATCCACCTTGTGTGGCCTTGCATTCATGGCTGCATCCACCTCTTCCACAGTGGCATAGGTGACAAACCACAAAGCCTCTGGAGCGCTTGGTGTTTGGATCTCTCATTACCACACAGTCCGTAAGTGTTCCCCATTGCTCACAATGGCTCCTCAGACTCTCATCGGTTGTTTCAAAGCTCAAACCTCCAATGGAAAGCTTCCGCAGCTGTTCAGGCTCTTTGGGAGACTCTGACTTAGACATGACGGCGGTGGGAGGGGAGACTTTCACGATGCTTACTCGGCGGCGTCCACGGGCAGAAAGCTATAACACATTTTTTTTGACATAACAAGATCAGTCCTATTATAATGGTTTGGCATTTTATTTTTTAAATTTATTTATTTAAATTAAAGTTCATTAACATTCAGTGTCATATTGGTTTCAAGAGCAGAACCCAGTGATTCATCACTTACATATAACACCCAATGCTCATCCCAACAAGTGCCCTCCTTACTGCCCATCACCCATCTAGCCCATCCGCCCCCACCCAACACCCTGCCAGCAACCCCCAGGCTGTTCTCTGTATTTGAGTATCTTATGGTTTGCCTCCCTCTCTGTGTTCATCTTATTTTTCCTTCCTTCCCTTCTTCTATGTTCATCTGTTGTGTTTCTTAAATTGAACAGATATAACACATTTTATTTATCTTTTCATGCATGGGTGGGCATTTGGGTTGTCGTCCCTCTTTGGCTATCATACATAATGATGCTATGAACATTCATGTACAAGTTTCTGCATGGACACGTGCCTTCTTTTCTCTTGGGTACTTACATTGGAGCGGAATTGCCGGGTCACATGGTAACTCTGTGTTTAACTATTTGAGGAACTGCCAGTCTACTTTCCAAAGTGACCGAGCTGTATGACATTTCCCACCCCACCCCCAGCAACGTAGGTGGGGAGGTTCCAGTTTCTCCACACCTTTGCCGACACCTGTTGCTGTCTGACTTTCTGATTCTAGCCATCCTCGTCGTTTTGAAACCTTCTCTTTTCTTGACCCATCAGATTTTTGGGCAGGCAAACACCACCCTGAAGCGATGGCTCCTGGACTTTGCCTCCAAGAGAAAAGAATCAGAGCTTCGCAGTGGCATCATTAGAAACAACAGCCTGTGGGACAAACTGATCTTCCACAAGATACAGGTGACAGACTCAAAACTGTTGTTTGTCATGTAAACTAACTTTGGCTTCAGAGTTTCTATGAGGGCTCTTTTTTTAAAGCAAAGTATGAAGGTAAGAGAGAATGGCATGTTTTTATTAAGTCTGGCACATTTCTAAAAGTTAAGGGCCAAGCCACTAAGTAAACCTCAGTATCCAGTATAAACCTGAGCAACGTGGTAAGATGGCAGGGAAGGAAAGGAATCAGGGTATTAGAGCTTTTCTAATTGTTTATTTTGCTTTGCTTTCTGAAACAGGTATGTTACTTTCAATGTCATTTTTTAGGCACAAGTGATAAAGAATGTGGAATGACGATATTTTGTCCAAATGCCAAAAAATGTGGTGTTTGCCCCCAGTCCACCACACTCTTGTGCTAATTCCTTAAAAATACATGCAAGTAGGGCACCTGGGTGGCTTGGTCAGTTGGGCATCCGACTTCGGCTCATGTCATGATCTCACGGTCCGTGAGTTCGAGCCCCGTGTTGGGCTCTGTGCTGACAGCTCAGAGCCTGGAGCCTGCTAAGGACTCTGTGTCTCCCTCTGTCTCCCCCTCCCCCCACCCCCCTGCTCAAGGTCTGTCTCTGTCTCTCTCAAAAATAAATAAACATTAAAAAAATAATATTTTTTAATTGCAAGTAAAAAAACAAAACAAAACAATACCCACAAGTAGTGGTGTTGGGTTATTCTTCATACCCATTGAGAGTGAAGGGTGTTGCTTCAGCTCCAGCCAGGCATTCCTCCTTTGAATGCCTGTGAATTGTGTGTGCATGGGTGAGCTCTGTGTGGCTGCGGAGAAGGAGTGGTGGATTGGGGGTACTGGGTTCCCAAAAGGTGTCTTGGAGAAGGCCACCAACGTGCAGCCATTTGACCCTCACTGTCTCCTCTCTCCTTGCCTTGTAAGTCGAGCCTGGGAGGAAAGGTCAGGCTGATGGTCACAGGAGCCGCGCCCGTGTCCGCCACCGTGCTGACGTTTCTGAGAGCAGCGCTCGGCTGTCAGGTGAGATGGGTGTCACTGCAGCCGATTGTCTCCGCCTTTTCCAAGCCCAGGAATCTCCTTTCCAAAAGTCATCCTTATAGTTCGGTGGCTTATTTTGGCTGGGAAGATCGTGTTATGCGTAGGTTGCTCGGAGAAAGGAGCGTGTATATCTTTAACACGAGGCGCGAGAAGATGCGTCTGTGGCCACCACGGACTGTGTGATTTTCTCTAGGGTCAAGCACAGTCCAGAAGACTCGCCTTTAATCAGGCCTGAGGTATAGAAATGGGTCACAAGCGATAAGCCCCGCTTGCAAACCATGGAGAAAAACCTGCCTTAAAGGGGTTGGGGGAGGCAGGAGAGACTGGGTGACATATAAGATATGCGTGGGGCAGAGCCGAGAGCTCACAGAGCCAGGACATTCCCGAGTGGGTGGTGTGCAGTGTGACCTGTCGGGCCATGTCGGTGTCCCCCTGGCCTGTCTGCAGGAGGTTAAGTAGAAGAAGATGACCATGGACAGAGGCTGGTGTTTTGTGTTGGGGGTGAAGATGTTTGGGTGCCATAACAAAGCCGTAGCGGTAGCCTACAAATTTACCACATCCGTAAAACCTTGGTTTACAGGCATAATTCGTTCCGGAAACATGCTTGTAATCCAAAGCACTCCTATGTCAAAGCAAATCTCCAGAACCATTGGCTCAGCTGTGATCATGTGACGTTCGGCCTCACATACTGCTCCTATTGCAAGACATCGCTCGTTTATCAAGTTAAAGTTCATTAGAAATGTTTGCTCGTCTTGTGGAACACTCGCGGAACAAGTTACTTGCCATCCAAGGTTTTACTTGTACAACATTTAAAAAGAGGTTTCACTGTGGTCATGGTCAGCCGTTGCTCAGGAGTTACAAGAACTTAATGATTTGTGCACTTGCAGCATGGGTGTGACTGTTCCCTTTAATAACGTTTCATCTCTTGCTGGTCCAGTTTTACGAAGGCTACGGACAGACTGAATGCACTGCCGGGTGCTGCCTGACCATGCCTGGAGACTGGACAGCAGGTACGCATAGCGGGCCACTGCTTATTGGAAGCCTGTTATTCCAACCAGAATTACTGGAATTGGGTTCATCATTGGTTCATTAACCAACTTAAGTTCTGTGTCTCAAGTGATTAGGCCTTGGGGCAGCCTCATAAATCAGGGCGCCTGGTGGAGAACAGCCGCTGTGGCAGAGCAGGATGTGCTTTGAGGACCCAGCTGTAACACAGGGGGCAATGTACCTAGATTCTGAGGCTGACAGCTGAGACATGATGCCCTTTTTACTGGGTTCAGAATGTTGGGCCCAACAGAGCCTACAAGGAATTGATTGGGGTCTAATTATTTGCTAGTAAATTTGAATTGAATTTACACTGGGTGCTGTGCTAGGTGTCGAGACCACAGAGCAAAAGAAACAAGTCCTTTCTCCAAAAAGGCGCAAGTAGAGGCAAATACGGAAGTCATCGATGGAGCAGCTGTCATGGATGAGGATGTGTGTTAGGTGCTTGAGATGTACATCACGTGCACTTCATCGCATCCCTGTGAAGCAGGCCCTGTGACCCCGGAGAGGAAGTGATTGTTGATTAAAAAGCGTGTAAATAATGTATAAGAATTTGCACAGCAGTAGGCTTTGCAGCCAGGATTCCAGCCCGGGTCTGACTGCAAAGTTTCTGTGCTCTCCTCTGTAGCACACAGGTAGTACAGAGTTCTCCACTCTGCAGACCCCGCTGATTTATTTGGCGTGTTAGAAATACGAGCGCAATCTGGTAACATGGATTCTAGTGTCTTGGACCCTAGTAGCACAATTCTGCTGGGACTCCCACCAACTGTCTGTGACCCTTTTTCATGGTTAAACTTATGCAAAAATTATTAAAACATAGGAGGAATTCTTTGTGATGCTCTTAAAACCTATCTCATTTCTATTATTTTTTTGTTTGTTTGGGAAAAGACAACCCCAGTTTGAACCACGTTGGGCAGGAGAGTTGAGTTAGCTGTGAAAATAAGCACCATCCTATCTTAATAAACTTAAATCTAAAACAAGTTCTCCCATATGTAAGGAAGTAAAGATGGTCTTGGTCAGAGCCAGGGGGTGTGGGAGAGAATAAACCAGGTTTGGCAAAGCTGCGCATATTCTTTCTTTCTTTTTTTTTTTTTAGTAAATGTTTATTTGTTTTTGAGAGAGACAGCGTGAGTGGGAGAGAAAGAGGGAGACAGGGGATCCAAAGCAGACTCTGTACTGAGAGCACAGAGCCTGATGCAGGGCTTGAACTCACAAACCTTGAGATTATGACCTGGGCTGAAGTCAGATGTTTAACCAACTGAGCCCATCAGGCACCCCTGTGTTGTTTTCTTACAGAAAGCAGGGATGTTAAGTCTGTTGAGAGAGAGGCGGCAGGTGATAAGCAGAGGCCATCGGATCGTGGGAGCCTAGTGGAACTTTTAGAAAGCTTGCTTCCGGGTGTATGTAGAAAACCCTTAAAACCAGCAGCCAAATTATTTCTACTCTGAAAAATAATTTGGAGCACCAAACTTGGGAGAGGTCCCTAAAAGACTTTTGAATAGTTGTCTCTCTTTGAAGAATAAACACTCTATAAATTTCCCAAGTGGGAGAGGGGGAGGGACAGGATATAATGGGAGAAAACAGAAGTTTACACCAGCTGTTGTTATTATGAGCAGGAGCAGGCTTGTTTGCTATAAAAGTAATTCGGCTTCAGGGTATTAGTAGTCCTCCTGGGAATGATCATTCTTTTATTGAACATGCAGGCCACGTTGGTGCCCCAATGCCTTGTAATTTTATAAAACTTGTTGATGTAGAAGAAATGAACTACCTGGCAGCCAAGGGCGAGGGCGAGGTAAGTGAACCCCCCTCCCCCGCCCCTCTTCGTTCACCCTCATCGCCATTCCTCTGACTGCCGGCCGTGACCCCTGCACTGCCGTGACCTCGGCACTGTCGTGTAAAGGCATTGAGCTTGATGTCATTGGTGCTCCGGGATCCAACAGGCTTCTTTCTGAAGGTTCCTAATGCGGGAGGGGTACCACTAACATCTCTTCTATCAGACACCAGAGGGACTTGGGCTTCAGAGCGTGCAAAGGCTCCAGTGCTTCAGGGTCTAGAGCACAGCTCTGGTGGGCTAATTGCCCTGGATACCTGTTAGTGAGCTACTGGCTAGCGGAAGGAAAGCCTAATGACTTCAAAGTGATTTCATCCCCCTTGGGGCTTTCCAGCAGCTGTGAGCAGGAACCTCAGGCAAGCATTAGCCCTACAACCTGACTGCAGCTGAGGTCATTAAGACAAGGAAACAGGAGCATTGGAGGTACCCCCAAGATCCCAGAGTGGCTTTGGTAACTCCTGGGTTATAGAATTCATGGCTTCTGGCTAAAGGTGGAGACACGTGCACACACACACGCACCCCAGCTTTCTCTGGACAGCCCCCAGTAAATGCTGTTAACAGATTATCTTTCCCCCCCACACTTCCATCAAGATGTAATCGACCTACAACACTGTATGTGCTGTATGTTTAAACAGCACAGTGATTGGGGCATCTGGGTGGCTCAATCGATTAAGCATCTGACTTCAGCCCGGGTCATTATCTCACGGTTTGTGAGCGTTCATGGGTTCGAGCCCCTGGGTGCCTCAGTCAGTTAAGTGTCTGACTTCAGCTCAAGTCATGATCTTACGGTTTGTGAGGGTTTGTGTGTTCGAGCCCCGTGTTGGGCTCTCTGCTGATAGCTCAGACCCTAGAGCCTGCTTCAGATTCTGTATCTCCCTCTCTCTGCCCCTTCCTCGCCCACACTCTGTCTCTTTCTCTCCAAAATGAATAAACATTAAAACCAATAGCTAACCAGCATGATGATCTGACATACATATATTGTGAAGTGAATTACCCACAATAAGTTTCATGAATATCCATCATCTCACATAGATATAAGAAAAAAAGAAAATTCTTTCCTTGTGATGAGAACTCTTAGGATCTCATTTTTTAACTTTTTTTTAAAGTTTACTTCTTTTTCGAGAGAGAGGGAGCAGGGGAGGGGCAGGGAGAGAGAGAGAGAAAAAGTCCAGCATGGAGCCTGACATGGGGCTCAAACTCATGAACCATGAGATCATGACCTGAGTCAAAATCCTGAGTCAGATGCTTGACCAACTGAGCCACCCAGGCGCCCCTCATCCCTTAACATGTAAATATATCACATAATATCTTAACATGTAAATATATCACATAACATCTTAACATGTAAATATATCACATAATAGTGCCAACTGTAGTCACCACACCGCACATTCTGTCCCTGGTACTTCTCTTCTGACTAGAAGTTTGTACCTTTTCACCCCCTTCCTCTACTTTCTCCTCACCCCCCTCCATGCTTTTCCTCTTCAGGTGTGTGTGAAAGGGCCAAATGTATTCAAAGGCTACTTGAAGGACCCAGCAAAAACGGCGGAAGTTCTGGATAAAGATGGCTGGTTACACACAGGGGACATTGGAAAGTGGTTACCAGTAAGCTCTCCCCTTCCCTGTCCCCAGAGACTGTTGTTTTCTGCCATAGGGAAGAAAATGTCCCATGGGTTGCAGGGGGCGGCCTCATTTTTCTCTTTTCCTGCCAAGGGGGTGTGGTGTAGGCTCTTCCATTTCCTGAAGGGAATACACTTACACTCTGAGCGTGCCCGGGTAGGATTTTCATCTTAACCATAACAAATAGGTTTGTTTTTGATGCTTGACATCAATTCTGGTGGCTGCTTCCCATTTGAAATCCAGAGAGACTCCGTACGGCCTTTTATATATCCGGGCTGGACCTCAATGTTAAGGCCTTGGTTTAACAAGGTGTGGGGAGCACTGTGGTAGACCTCCAGGAAGGTGTGGTGGGCAAGAATTTGTGAATATATGCGTTTGTTAGGTCTGCCATCTCATTACAAATAGGATGAGTGTTCCACGGATTAGGCCAGCTCCTTTGGATTTAGTCTTAAATTTATGTAGAGAAATTCCAGAGTCCACCATGAGAGGGAGAGTCATGTACACGAAGCCACATCCATAGGTTTGGCCAATTTTGCTTGCTGTGGTACCAACCACTGCTTTTTCTAAGTGGTTACTATGTTTAATGACAAGCACTGAAATGGCTAATATAATTTTCATTATTGTGTATTGGTCGATTCTTATAGATTTAAGGTGCACAATACTCCCCGAAATTTTTAGTGAAGTGGAAAATCCACCCCTCATCCCGCCGAGCCAATTAATTCAGACTTCAGCATACCCCAGTTATTCAGAAATAAATTAAGTCCCTCTTTCCAAGTTCAAGAGGGATTACGTGTCAGTTCTAATTCTGGCTCTGGCGCTAATGAACACATTTCATAATCTCCCTGGACCTCAGTCTACTCCTTGTGAAAATGGCGCAGAACCAACATGGAATGAGAGAACCACAGAAACTTCCCAACAGCTGACTTTTGGAAGCATAAGAATGACCCTGGGATGGGGATGGGTTGAATGGGGTGAGGTTTGGGTTACCAGAGGCGGGCACTCCTGACATCTGGCCAGTCTAGCGCAGAGATTGTAGCCTCCCCACGGTTATTGTGTGGGCTGCTGACCGACGCTGCCCCTGGGGCCAGGAGCAGTCCCCTCCCCCGCCCGCCCCGAAACAATGACAAAGGAAGCAGACGTTAGGCCTCTCTATAGCAAACATCCACTGAGCCCTCACTCTGTGCAGACAGAGTGCTCTGGGAGGATATGTCCCTGTCTGTACTCTCAAGGAGCAGGACTCATTCTTGGGGAGCCAGATAGGTAGCAAGCTACTAGGGACGAAGTGAAAGCATGAGCTCTGGGGTCCCTTCTCTCTCTCTCTCTCTCTCTCTCTCTCTCTCTCTTTCTACTTGACTCACTGGCCTTGGGCAAGTCACTTAGTCTCTCCAAGCCTGAGTTTGCCTCTCAGACGGGCTGATAGCTCGCCTCTGTGCCATGTTACCAGGATTAAATGATGCCCTGTGCAAAGTGCCCTGAGCTGTGTGTGACTGACACGGGGCGGGCAGGGGCAGGGGGCACCAGCCACGGACCCACTGCCAGCCCCTCCCTCCCCTCTAATAAACAGAATGGTACCTTGAAGATTATCGACAGGAAAAAGCACATATTTAAACTGGCGCAAGGAGAGTACATAGCACCGGAGAAGATTGAGAACATCTACGTGCGAAGCGAACCTGTCGCTCAGGTGTTTGTGTACGGAGAGAGCTTGCAGGTACGGGCCCTCTGCCCTGGGAGCCATGTCACGGGGGCACGGCCAGGCCTCGTGCTCCGGAGCTTTTCGGTGCCACGGGGAGTTGGCGATGGGTATTGAATTGACTTTCATGTGCCAGAGTACCACTGGGTTTTGCTGCCTGGCATTTCTTATCCAGAAGAGTTTTGCTCTTTAAATTGCAGATTTTTATTTTACCCGGCTCGAGTGGCCTGGTGTACCAAGGGGAGTTGGATAAAGATGTTAGGGAGTGAGGAGGGCACCTGTTGGGAGGAGCACTGGGTGTTGTATGGAAACCAATTTGACAATAAATTTCATATTAAAAAAAAAAAAAAGATGAGGGAGTGGGTACAATACGCTTCTAATTTAATTATGAAAAGGAAATATTGATACGTTGATTATGAGAAAGTTTAGGATTTTCAAACATGTTAAACGCAACGTAGCTATGCTGTGCCTCCTGAACTGTTTTTGAGCAGTGGTGGTTCTGAACCGGTATATATGCATAAAGTTGAAAACCAAGGTCAACGCTGTAGGGGCACGTCTCTTTGCAAACTGTGGGGCGGATGATGGCAAGGAAGAGAAAGGGGTCTGGTTTCCTGAAAGTTCATCTTTTTTTCAAATCTTGAGACTTTTAAATACTTTCAAAAGAATATTTTCTTATCTTGTAAGGAATACACCTATTTTTCTTTTGAGTGTGTACTGGGTTTTTTTTGACCTGGTACCTTACCATGCCTTTGACTTTTAGTTTTATTGTTACTAAATTGTAAAAAAGAAAAAGGCGTTAGAGATTTAAAAAAAAATTTTTTTTAATGTTTTATGTTTGAGAGAGAGAGAGCACAAGTGGGGGAGAGACAGAGAGAGGGAGACACAGAATCGGAAGCAGGCTCCAGGCTCCGAGCTGTCCGCCCAGAGCCAAACGCGGGGCTCAAACCCATGAAACGCAAGATCGTGACCTGAGCTGCAGTTGGCTGCTTAACTGACTGTGCCACCCAGGCGCCCCGGC